TCCGTGGTGCCCAGCAACAGGACAAGAGGCAACGGGCAGAAACTGAACCACAGGAAGTTCCACCTGAACCTGAGAAAAAACTTCTTGACTGGGAGGGTGACAGAGCACTGGAAGAGGTTGCCGAGAGAGGTTGTGGAGTCTCCTTCGCTGGAGATATTCAAAGCCTGCCTGGACGCGATCCTGAGAAATATGCTCTAGAGGTCCCTGCTTCACTAGGGGGGTTGAACTAGATGATCACTATAGGTCCCTTCCAACCTCAACCATTCTGTGTGCTTCTGTGATATTCTGGTTAGCCAGAATAATCACTGAGAGGCAGGGGCCATGCTTTGACAGCATCTGGGCACTGCTAGAAATCCCTGAAGTGTCTGACATACCCCCCACCCCCAAAATGTCACAGGATAGGACAAGTCAGTTCCCCTTTGTGCTCCCTTCTCAGCACAGGCAACAGCGGAGATGGAGCAAATTTTCCCAACTGCAGAATGAAAGGGTGATGATGGGGGGAAAGTTCACCAAAATTTGTGTAAAAGCAGAGGCATTAATACACCAAAATATCTATATAAAAAAGGAAGCAAAGCTGTCTTCTCAGTTAGGGTTCAGAAAGCAGTAAATTGTTCATAAATGTTACTTTTTAGTGCCTTAACTTGCATGCATGGAATCCAACCTCAAAGTAAGAGGAAGGTCCTCTGCGAATGAGATGGCCACTCTCTCCTTGCCAGAATAGAGATAGGGTGCATCAGTTATTGCAAGGATTTCATTCTTTTCCGTAATCAGATAGTATTAGATTATTGAGTCTGATCTTCCCGACACAGTAATATTTGTTTTAAGAAATGTAGTCCCAGTTTATAATGTTGTAAATAGGAGGAGAAAGGGACACATACACTGCAGTAAAATTGTACTGATGTGTGTAAATACATGAAAACATAGATAAATTTTTTTCTTTACTCAAGATATGGTCTGAGGTTTCTCCTCAGAAAATCAAACACTGCTCAGACCTCACAGCTAGGAGATAAACACTTCTCCTATTGCAGATGTTCCCAAAGCCAATAAGGAAAGACATGAAATGGGAAAAGTCAAGTGGGGAAGTGAGATTTCCACAGAGAAACAAATGTTTGCAAATACTGTGGAGAACAGCTTGCTAGTAGCATGCCCTGGGTGTTCAATAATCCCCAGGCCTTATGGTCAGCAGGCAGATGCTGGCAGGACAGAGTCCCTGCAGTGGAGGAAACTGCTTCTTGTTTGCTCAGCGCCCAAGGTCCACATGTGCAGCAGGACCCAATCGCTCAGAGGCTGCCCCTGTTCCATGCCCATACCCAGCAGGGCCCATGGAGGCTGTGGCTGTTGTGGGGCTGCTTTTTATTTGCATTAGGGCAGTTTCCCACTGCTGTAAAGCTGCTTTAAGCTAGCCTCAGCCTTGGGGACAGAGCAGCATAGGGGGAGCTCTGGGACTGTATGTCCCCCCTCAGCTACACAGAGACCCAGAGATTCGTTTGGATAATCAGACTTTCTGCGGTTTGCAGAGATAATCACCGGTGAAACACCTGAAATATATTCCACGAAGCATGAATAAGCTGCTGCCAGCGCCAGTGGTGTGGAACAGAGTTCCCCAACTTTATATTAAACACGATAGAGTACATTTTGGCTTTGACAGGGTAATTTGCACTGATTCCTGGGAAATGGCTGGCATTGCAGACAAGCCCCTTGCCTGCATAGTACCTCCAGGCGCTGCAGCAGTGTCTGCAGGAAGGCCAAGCATGCAGTTGCACCACTGATTGACTTCCACTGAATTTGTTGCCTCAGCAGCGAGCAGATGCATGAAAGTGCTATCCCCTGGTGAAGGAGAACATGTACAATATCTGCTCAGCTCACCTCTTTCCAGGGGCTCCAGCAAAGACGGCTGGTGATATTATTCAATCACTTTTCAAATGTAAGACTTTGTAAAACATTTTTTTTTCCTGTCTTTTCTCAGCCATAGCTCAAAGCTAGCTTGGGCAAAAAGTTTCAATTGTCAGTGATTGCTGGTGGCATACTTCTGCCCCATGCACAGGAGATACCACAGCCTGCACTATTTCAGTACACTGAAATACCCAAGGGTTGCTTCTAACAATGGAAGAGGCAGGTGGTTTTCTGAGCAGCTAGTGCTTCCTGGAGCACTTCCTGCTTTCCTCTGAGACAGAGGTAGAAATATAGAGTTTTGTTTTTCAAATGACCCAGCCCCTATAGCCCAGTTCCTGTCATGAGCCCCAGACATGACAAGTTGGATGGTTGCTGCCATTGGTCTAGTTCTGCTTCACACCTATGCTGGACCACTATTGAGCCACGCGGTATGTTTGCTCCAGAAGGAAGCGGAGAAGTCACTGGGGTCTTCAGCAGGGCTAGTTTGCTGCCTCCCACTCCTGTCTGTCTCAGGGTTGATCCAACAAGACTGACCTCGGACCCTACTCAGTCTTGCAATGCCGGAGTAGGCTGGATAGAGAGTAGCGCTGCATGAGGGTTGTGCCCTGCAGAAACAGCAAGAGGGAGGCCAGCAAATAGCTCTGCCAGTTGGTGGCAGATCTATGAAAAGTCCTGCTTGACACATGGAGGACTGGATGTATGAGTTTTCCTAAGAAATTACCTGCTGCTCCAGGGCTGTATTTGCTCAGCACCTGATAAGGGCTCTTATCAGAGCAAAATAGCATCCCTGCTGCGGGGAAGTGCCAATTCAGGTTATAGCCCTAGAGCTGGCAGGTCATTAACGCGCCTCAAGATGAGAATGGGACACGACCTCTGGGAGCAGTCTCAGCCATGCTCCTCCCCTGGCAGAGGGCAACTATAAATCTTGTGACTCAAAGCCTATCTGCAGCAGCTTTCTTGTCTTCCAGGTGTCCCTGTGGAGGCAATATGGGTGAGTGTGAGCGTGGAGAGCGGGGCAGGGTGGGCTCCTGGGCCCATGGGCTGCCAGGAGCAGTGATAGAGGAGTGGGAGCACTGGGCATCTCCACCCTGGCAGAGCCATCTGCTTGCTCCCATGACTAGAGGGCTTTCCACAGAGGTAGAAGATGACACAGGCCATAATGCAGGGAAGACTGCATTATGTGCTGCTTCCTTGGGGTTTTGAGTGGGACATGTGAGTCACTGAGTCTGCCCTCAGGCCAGCCCAGCAGCTCTCTGGGCAGCTTTGTTGCAGAGAGCTCAGGAGAGCTCAGGAGGGGTATGACAAGGGAAGAGGGAACTATGTCCTGCCCTATCCCGCTGCAGGAGAGCTGGGGAGCAGAGGTGGATCAGAATAGGCCTACAGCCATGCCTTTTTGACCTAGCACTGAATCAGGTGCCCAGGGTTCACATGGAACTTTGGAAAGGCTGACTGAGTCGCTGTCAAGCCGAGCATGTTTGGAAGTGGGCTAGCATCTGTTCCCTGGCTGAGGGTTTTAACAGAGCCACAGCCACGAGTACGCATGGTCTCACACCACAGCCATGGACTGTTCAGATGGTAGAGGAGACCTATCTTCACTGTCCTGCAGACCCAGGTCAGCAGACCAGTCTGACCTTAGAGCCAGGAGCTCTCAGCACCTCATATTGCTGGGAGTACAGCTGGAAGAGCTTCCAACTTGAGCAAGACACAAGGGCCCAGGCAAAGCAAATGCAGGTCTCTGCAAACAGAGCCTACCCAGGCTGAGGCTGCCACTGAAATAAGGGCTGTACTTGCATGATGGAGGGCAAAATCTGCAGCAAGAAGGTCAGAGTGACCTTTCCCCATGCAAATGTGTCAGAGGACATAGAAAAGATGTCAAACAAAGAAAAACGTCCCGGCAACTTAAATCCTGGGAGTAGCCTGCTATCCCAGCAGCACGAACCTTTCTTCTGCCAGGAAAAGACACGTTCACGTCTAGCAGACAGTCACTGCTCTTTATTTTGAGCTCCGCAGAGTCATAATTCTCTGTGTGTGTTAAAAATATGAGACTGCATTTATGGGTGTTTGAAAAGCTTAGGCCAACTGCTTCCAAATGCTATCAGGGTCCGTCATTGTGGGATGTCCAAAATAGAGGCACTGTTGAAAAATTCATCCTTTTCCAGGTGTTTTGCAATCCAAGAACACTGTAACCCTCCAGGGGTGCAGCTTTGAAGCCATTTTTAAATGAATGTTCACTTTTTAACTGAATAATTATTCAGATTATTATTATTATAACTAAATGTAATCAACATTGTTATTTTTATTTAACTGTGATCTGTTTTTTATTTGAATTTCCCAGAGTGTGGTGGAAAGTCTCAGGAAATACCAACCTCGCTGTTTAGTGAGCTGAAAGGCAGAAAATATTAGGCAGGATTTCTGTTAAAGGTTGTGATTGGCAATAAAAACTTTGGTCAGGTTTCTTCTGGTCTGCAAAGGAAGCTCTCATGTTTGGCTGACTTTGCTCCCCAAATTTCTCAAGCATCTTGGGCTCTGGTAGGAAGTCTGGGGACAGCAAAAAGTCCAGCTACAAAATTCATGTCAGAAAGGCAACCTCTATACCGTCATCATGGGCTTGGGGCGACAGGCAGTGTGGGGGAATGCTGAGATGTTACAAGACTGCTAATAACCCACTGTGCATTTTACACCTGCGGTAGGACTTTGAGTTTCACTCCTGTCCTGTCCCTTCCTCCCCCAGCTGCCCAGTGTGCTCCCCTTCTGTTCCTTGCCTGTGTGTTGGCTCTGCCTGCCCCACTTCTCACTGGGACTGTCCAAAACCTGCCCCTCTTCAAGCGATCCATCTCGAATAACACCGCACTTGCTCTGAACACATTTGTGAATGGTAGGTATATGGAAGTTCCCTTGTATGCCAGCAGCACACTGCTAGGACTACCTCAGAGTAGGTACCCTGCTGCAGGGGAGGGCTGCATCTGACCTGGCGCTCTGCTGAGATGTCAGAAGAAACCTGGCAGCCAGAGAGGGGGATGTATGCCCAGGGCATGAGTTGCCTGCCCTTTCTCAGACGTCCTGTTAGGATGATGAGAGTTGGCCCTGAAAGGAGGCGGGCTCTGAGACTGCCTAGGTGAGTAGCTCAGATATCTGTTTGGTCCCCATGTTATGGAGTAGGGGGGGATTGATTGAGAAGCAACACAAACTGCCACAAAATATCATCTAAATTCAGGCCAAGTCTTAGTAGAGCCTCCACTTGCAGAAATAGCACCGTTGTCTCCTTTTAGCTGTCCCACCCCTGCCTGACTGCCATGTCAGGTGAATTTCCACTAATTTGTTGGTGCGGAGAATCACAGAGGATTGTGAGGTTTCCCTCAGAGAGCGAAGGCTGTCCTTCTCCACGTATCCCCTGCACTGGAGGAGGACAGTAGGGACAGGTATTGAGAAGGATGAAGGAGAAGAAAGGAAGTGTTCCCATGCCAACAGATCCCCCAGTTTCCCCAGCAATTTTGCCTGTCTCATGGCTAAAATGGTCTTTTCTGAAACACACTCATCTGAGCGTTTTTTTGCTGGACTCACCATTCCCTGTCTCACCCTCATCCTTGTTCCTGGTGTATTCATGCTCCTAGGAGGATAAAGCATAGATTCTGCAGGGTTAGAAGAAGGACATCTAGAGTCTGCTTGCCTGAGGGAACACGTCAACCACACGCTCAGTCTCTGGGGCCACATTAAATCAAAACTAGCTGGAAATGGAAAGTCCAGCAGACAAAGGCTCCTAGCCACCTTCCCCTGCCAGGAGCAAGATCAGAGGTGTAAAGGCCCTACATCTTACTGCATGGTCTCCACTCCTTGAGCCAGACAGTACTTCCTGACTGAGGGGGCCAGCTTTCTTTGTTGCCCCTTGCCATTTCCAGATCCCTCCCTACCTCTTGGTTTGCTTATTCCAGGTCAGCTCCGGCTGGTGAATGGCTCCAGCCAGTGCTCTGGACGGGTGGAGATTTGGTACCGCGATGCCTGGGGGACAGTGTGTGATGATGCCTGGGACATGAAGGACGCCTCTGTCGTGTGTAGGCAGGTGGGCTGCGGAGATGCGGTATCAGCCCCAAGTTCTGCTCATTTTGGGAGAGGATCTGGGCCTATCTGGCTGGATGATGTTAACTGCAGTGGAAAGGAGCAGTTCCTCACTGAGTGTAATCTGAAGGCATGGGGAGAACACAACTGTGGTCACAACGAGGATGCAGGTGTTGTGTGCTCAGGTAAGGATGGTGTTTGCAGTACCCTGTGCTCCTTAAGCCACCAGGTTTCATTAACACCTTGATCTTGCAGAACTAGCTACAGGAGGACTATGGAATGTCCTCTTATTAAATGGCCCTCTCTCTTGCCCTAGGTTGGCCCAAGGACTGCAGAAATGCCTGCTGGCAGCCCCAGTGGCATCTACATCATCCAGCCCACAGGGCACCACCAGCTTGTGGTGTACTGTGAAATGAATGTGACAGGTGGGGGCTGGACAGTCATCCAGAGGAACCGGGACAACACAGAGATCACCTGGGCCGAGTCCTGGAGCACCTACAAGTACGGCTTTGGGAATGTGCAGAGCGACTACTGGCTGGGCACCGAGTACATCTATCGGATTGTCCAGCAGAAGGTCTACCAGGTCAAGTTTGTCATCCAGGATGCCAGAAATACCACCAAGTTCGCAGACTATGATCTTTTCAATCTGGAAGATGAATCCCAAGGCTACCGGTTGAGGCTGGGCTCCTACACAGGGACTGCGGGGGACGCCATGACTTCAAGCAGTTCTTCTACTGTGCACGACAACATGAAGTTCTCTGCTAAAGACCAGGATCAGGACACTTACGGTGGGAACTGTGCCTCCAGCTATGGGGGTGGGTGGTGGTACTCAGCATGTTATTCTGTACGGCTGAATGTTAAGGGTGCCATAACATGGGGTAGCCTGTGCAATGGGAACTGCAAATCCTCTCTCATCCTCATCAAACCATCTCCCTATTGTTAGCACTTCTTCCATGCCTGTCTGCGTTGGACACATGGCCAGATCATTGCTCTGCTGGGCTACTCTTTCCTGCCTGGGAGTGGAGCAGATGAAAGTAGGGGAAAGCCTGGATTATCACAAGATTTTTCTTTTGCCTCTTCTGCGGAGTTACTCTGCTTTCCTTTCTGAGTTCTTCCTCTTTGGGCTGTTATTATTTCAATTGTATTATAATCAAAACTAATACACTGCAAAACTTGTATGTCTGGAACATACCTGCTCTGGAGAGTAAAATGTGCTTAGAAACACAATACCTGGATGAGCTTCCACAGACATATCCAGAGAAAAAGGTCCCTGTTCTTAGCTGTATAATGAATCAAGCCCTTCCTCTTTAGAGCTTCTGTCCCCCTCTCATTAGCTGGGGTTGAGGGAATGATAAAGCTTCCTTATAAAGTTTCTTAGTAAAGCTGAACTTTGAACTAACCCCACTTTCACTAGCTGAAAATGTGGCCTTGAGGTGTTTTCATCCACACTGAGTCTCTATTCAGTGGTTGTTAAAGTCTTCAATAAAATCCCATTTCTAAACAACACCTCCCAAATATCTATTCCTTATCTCTGATGTGCTCATACAGGCTGATATGTGACTGGGCAGCCGTAGTAGGGCAGTAGCAGGCTTCTCCTCACAAAAAGGTATGTGGGATTGAAGGGAAGTAATCAAATAGGGAATTAATTTAAGAGACACATCTACATTTATGTAAAACCCTCAACAAGAAAACTGCAAGTTTTTGATTTTGGAGAAGCTTTAGGGAAGGATTGATAACTCCAAGTGCTTTGCACCACATTCAGGGTTGACTTTTTGTTCCTGTTAGGCCCAAGGAAATTCAAGATAACCTTTCTAAGAGAGTAGATTTGCCCCAGAGCTACGATCCTGAACAACCACACAAACCTGGGGTTGTGCGGGGGCAAATGGGACAGGGCTGTGCTTGTCCAGGCTGCTCCTGGAGTCTCTTCCAATCATGCCTGGATCTCTGCTCAGTAGCCCCGGGGCCAGGCAGCACATGCTCTGCTTCGCACAAGTAAGATAAGCCAGCCATCCCTTTCCCTGCTGGTATGGGCAGGCCAGGCTCCCTCCTGTTCCTGACTGCAGCTTGCCTGCTTGAGAGCAAACACGAGTGGCAATGCTGTCAGCAGCTGCAGGCCAGCCAGGAAGGGAGATGTGCTCCTCTGGTGTCCGCTCTGGGCCTCAACAGCCCCTCTGCTCTGCCAGAGGGAGGCACAGCAGTCTTCAAGCTTGGCTTGGAGGTATCTGCCTTTCCCACCATCCAGCACCCCCATTAACACTCACACCCACGTGCCCTTCCAGACACGCGATCCTGCTGCAGCACACTTGCTCCAACGCTGTAGGCACAGGTTGCTGCGAACACAGGCCTGGTTCATTATGGCGTAAGTGCTGTCCCCAGAGCCCTGTGCACACTGCTTGGTCTCAGGCTGAAGTGCAGGCATGTGTCACCCTGGCCAACCAGCTCCCCACTAGTCCAGACCGCTCAAACATCACCCTCTTCAAAGCTGGCTGCAGGAACAGCTGCCACAGGGGGAAGCTCCTCTGCGCTGTGATCGCCTTCTAGAACTGCTGCAGGGATAAAGCAAACCTCAGGACAGTGTGTAAGGCCTTCCCGGGGGCCGACTGCCCAGGCGCAGGGCCAGCCTTGGGACAGCGCTGCTGGGGGCTGCCCCCTTCCCAGTATGGGGAATGCTCTCAGCCAGCACCATGACCCCCCCCGGCCCCAGGGAGCTGCCCTGAGCTACAGCTCCCACTGCAGCACTACCATGGCTGCCAACGGGCCCCGCAGATCCGGCCCTAGACCCAAGTCTGCAGGCCAGTCACCCAGCCTCGCCTCCGCCCTGGCCCCATGGAGGCACCTGATGCCCAGGGCTGGGGCTGCTTCCGCATACCAGCCCCCCTGCTCCTTCAGGTCTGGGGGTGGCCAGCGGCCTTGCCCTGCTGGCCAGGGGATCCCCCACAGTGCTGGCCCCCAGAGAGCCACTGGCCCGCACAGTGCCCAAGCCATCCTCAGCCTTGTGCCAAGCGCCATGGTGCCTGCTGCCACCTCTGCAGCCCCTGAGCACGGGCCCCCAGCCCCTACTACCTCTGGGACTCCATGGCCACCCCTTACCCCAGGGCCTCATAGCGCTGAGCCCCGCTCCCTGGCACCCACCCCCTACTCAGCCCTGGGCTTCTGAGGGACCCCGGGAATCAGCCTCAGGGATGAATCCCCCACGGCACAAACCCCACTTGATGACCTGACCCCCCCCCCAAGCCCTGAGGTCCCTCAGGGGTGCCCTGACCCTCCTGGCCCTCGCTGCAGAGTAGGGTTAGGATTACAACTCCCCCAGCCATGGTGTGGAGTGGAGCAAGAGGAAGAGTGCAGCGAATGGGAACCTTAGTGAACACAATGCCGTCCCCAGCCCCGTCCACCACCCCTGCGACCAGGCAGAGCGATTCCCCCTCCATGTGTATGCACAATATCGCTGCAGTAGGTAGACACAAAGGCAGAAGAGTCTGGCTCCAGAATTTATTACAGTTGATTTCTCCCACCATGGATAGCAGAGCTGTGTGACTTACAGGGCTCAGGGAGGTAGCCGGGCCTGAGCAAAAGCAGGGAATGTGCCGATTACGCAGGGAAGGGAACTTGCGCTGTCTCCCCTTCTTCCCAGAACAGGAGTGGGGGCACCCACCCCAGACTAGTGCCTGTATTCCAGCGCTGGCCAGCGTCACGGCACTGGGCAAAGCTGCCTGTGCCGACAGGGCTCAGGGTGATTGCTGTGTGAACCCCAGAGCCGTTGTATTTCACTCTGGTGACAATGCAGGCACTGCAGGCATGCTAGACTTGCACCAGTGCTGGCACAGGGCAGTTGGCAGGCGCTGGAATGGGGCACTGAGTTGAGGGTGGTGGCCGTCCAGCTGGGTCAGCACACATCTGTGGGTTTGACCAGGATGAGGGAAGATTTGCAGTCACCGCTACTGCAGATTCCTGGCCATAGGATGTAGTTTTTGGCATTGAGCAGGATGTTCTGACACTTATCATACCACCAGCCCCCATAGCTGCTGGCACAGTTTCTGCTGGCCTGGTCCTGGTCCCTGTCATGGGTGCTGAACTTCATGTTGTCATGTATGCCCCCATACGTGGTGTGGTAGGTAGTCATATAGTCCACCCCCTCACTAGAAAATCTGCCCAGCCTCAGAGGGTACCCACTGGCCTCGCTCTCTATGCTGAAGATGTCGTACTCAGCATAATGGGTGACATTGGCCTTATTCTTCACAACGAAGCGGACCTTGTAGGTGTTCTGCTGTGTGAGCAGGTGCAGGTACTCGGTGCCCAGCCAGTAATCTGCCCTCACATTCCCAAAGCCGTACTTGTAGGTGGTCCAGGACTCCTTCCATGTGATCTCAGTATTGTAAGTATTCCTCTGGATGACAGTCCAGCCCTTGCCTTCGGTGTCCATGTCGCACCAAACCACCCGCGGGGGAGACCCTGCTGGCTGGATGACGTAGACCCCGCTGGGGCTGCTGCTATGAAGGTGGCTGCAGTCTGCAGGGAACCCTGCAACAGCAAATCAGACATGAGGGACCACTCTTGGAAAAAGCTTTAATAAGCTATTCTAGCATAGCTATAGTGATACTTCTGATGCTGGATTTCACTGGGCACTCTGCACCCTTCCTGTGGAATATGGTGGGAATGCTTCTGCCAGGAAGTTGTTCCTTAAAATGCTGCTGGGGACAGGTTCATAAAGGGAGAAAAATTCAGCAGAAACATACGCATTTGACTTTCAAAAGAATATGCACAGAACAGATTTCCGGGAGGCTCCTGAAGCACTGTGTGCTCTGGAGCAGGTTTCTGTGCACCCAGGATGGGAGCTTTGCTGTGTGTCTGGGCAGCAGATGCACTGCCGCCACAGCAAGGAGGCTTGGATGCTAGTCCTGCTCTGCCACTGGCCTGCTAGATCTCCTTAGGCATGTCACTTCCCCTGTCTGCTTTATGTTCTTCACTGTGAAGTGGTGACACAGGCTCTGATCTCTGGACTGAAATGCTCAGAGGCTAGTGATAAAAGGAAGGTATTATCTGACTTTGCAGCTTAGACTTAAATGCAGAGATCTGCTGTCTCTTACTGGCTCTCAGCATGGAGACACTTCCACACAGCACCTAGGATCCTGACCACACTCAGTGGTGGGCAGTGCGATTGCACGACAAACCTGATGGCTGTAGCTGTGTTGTGCAGATCACAGACAGAACCCTCCCCCAGCCACTGGTGTCTGTACTCACCACTCTGGAATCCTGCAGCAGATACTGCTGGGCTCATGTGGAGGAGAAGCATCGCCACCACCATGGGCAGGAGGGCAAGGCTCCCACAGAGCAGGTGCATCCCAGCCTGGAGCCCTGGGGAGGAAAGGACCCAGCACCATGAAGATCCTTGGGGCAGTCCCTGCTCCTCCATCTCCTGCCAATTGCTCTCCAGGGAACTCTGAGCAAGGGAGGCTAGAGGCACAAGGGAGAGGCAGGAGCAGAGGACTCCCTGGGTGTTGGAAATGCAGCTTTGATACAGAGTCTGCCTCTGCAGGGCTGAAGAAGAGCAAGAAAAGGCTTTGTTGCCCTCCTGTTCCACCTCTTCCCTGCACCACAGAGCAACCTGCAGTCATATTTTCTGATGTTTCTCCCAAGTTATATGTTTTTTTCTAAATGGCTAGAGGCAAAAGGTTATTTTTATGGGAAAGAACAAATACTATGTTAAAGGCATTCAGGGCAAATAGTTCAAAGAACTGCAGCTGAGTTTGGCATATAAAGCTGGTGCTCCAGATGCAAAGCATGCAGTTCACGTGGATGCAGGAAACAACGGAGCAGCAGCATCACAGAATTAGCAAGAAATGGCTTGGTGGAAAGGGAAGGACTGGGACATGCGCTGGACACCCTCATCAGCACAGGTTCCAATGCTCCCCTCCACTATCATCTTACCTGGTTCGTCTATTTGCA